ATTGGAGGACACTCTTACTCAAGTAAGTAAAGTAAGTTTGTGGTTGGAGGATCGGCTCTCTTAGGGCTTCCATAGTTGCCCATCACTATTCTAGAGGACCATTCTTCATAATGGATTGTGTGATGCAGGCCGAGAAGGCCCTTATTGGGTGATGTTTTTCACATATGCAGTGAAAAGAGAATTTGGAGCTACATAATTACCGGCTCTGCTTCCAATCTACATATATTTATTATAACATCTGCAAAGAGACCTCCTTGTAGAACTAAAAAACAAGTTTTCTCAACATGTGGAAAGAGGTCTCATGCCGTGTGCACTCTTTTCAGGCCTAACAAGAAACACATATTAAATTAGCAGCCCCACCATCTTCCCACTTCATGAGCTCATGAAGAACATTTGAAAATGATGACATAGAAACTAATTGTACTCTGTATGGAATCCAAAAGCCCATTTGTTTGTATTACCAAACCCCAATGTACTCCAAATCAGCTTTGCACTAAGTGTTTACAAGACAGCATATTAACGTGACTAGGGTTGTAAGTGGAGTAGGATGGTATTTGTCTCAAACAGGATTACAACATCAGCTGTTGATAGCAATAAAGTTGGGAACAATGAGGTAACTGGGTCGAGGTTTTCCAAGAAAATGTGCTGATGCAGCAGATCTTGTTAACAGGGTGGGCTCCTCCTCTCCCTGGTGTGCTTCCCACAGATTTAATATGACTTCCTTAGTGAGCTTTTTTGCTGAAATCTAAAGCTCTTATTATGGAGGATGAGAATTCCATGTTCTGAGATTTATGCTGTGTATTAAGTACTTAAGCAAACATATGACTAGGGTCATGGTTTGAAAGTACACTCGAGGCATAAAGGCTTGTAAGAAATAAGAATTAAGCTTGGGACTGTGTATTCCTCCCATGCTCTTTTCTACACATTATTTATCTGTTTCACTTGGAAATTTATCTCTGGTATTTTTACCTCTCTTTCAAAAGGTGTCTAAGGTTACAGGCTATTTGTTGAGAAATTTTCCTTCATGTGGGTTGACAATATGAGAAAAAAAAACCAGCCAGATTTCTATATGGCCAAGGCTCCTCTAAAGTAAACCTGCAAATTTAGGGAATTGGAGTTAGTATATACTGTTACATAATACTGACATTAAAAAACATAATGTAATCTAGAATATAAGTAAACAGATCATGTATCTGAGAAACTGGGGGTGCATCAACACTGAGGAATTAATAGTTTGGCACTACTTAAACCAGCCAGTGTTTCTCAACCTGAGGGTCGGAGGGAGTCAAGTGGAGTTTTCAGAGCGGTCACCAAAGACCATCAGAAAACATGTATTTCTGATGGTCTTATGAACTCTTTTGTCAGAGAAAGTTGATGATCTCTCTGCCTGTCCTTCTCTTCTGTTTTGAAAACAGATGGTGAATCCTCCCACCAAAAGCCCTCCTCTGCTGTAATTGGCTGGGCTCTCAGCCAAGGGGAGGGCTGTTTCTGAGACTCGCAGTGGGGTGAGGAGAGCAGCCATGCTTGGAATATTGCAGCGTGGTGCATATGTGCGCATGTTTGGGCGAGGGAGTGTGTGCAAGACTGGAGGAAAGCTCCTGCCAGAGAGTACCTTCAAGGTATGGGGTTCTGTGTGGGAAGTTTGGCCCAATTCTATCATTGGTGGGGTTCAGAATGCTCTGTGATTGTAGGTGAACTATAAATCCCAGCAACTACAACTCCCAAGTGTCAAGTTCTATTTTCCTCAAACTCCACCAGTGTTTACATTTGAGCATATTGAGTATGCATGCCAAGTTTGGTCCAGATCTAGCATTGTTTGAGTCTACAGTGCTCTCTGGATGTGGGTGAACTACAACTCCAAAACTCAAGGTCAATGCCCACCAAACCCTTCCAGTATTTTCTGTTGGTCATGGCAGTTCTGTGTGCCAAGTTTGGTTCAATTCCATCATTGGTGGAGTTCAGAATGCTCTTTGATTGTAGGTGAACTATAAATCCCAGCAACTACAACTCCCAAATGACAAAATCAATCCCCCACCCCACCAGTATTCAAATTTGGGCATATTGGGTATTTGTATTTGTGCCACATTTGGTCCAGTGAATGAAAATACATCCTGCATATCAGATATTTACATTCATAGAATCATAGAATCAAAGAGTTGGAAGAGACCTCATGGGCCATCCAGTCCAACCCCCTGCCAAGAAGCAGGAATATTGCATTCAAATCACCCCTGACAGATGGCCCTCCAGCCTCTGTTTAAAAGCTTCCAAAGAAGGAGCCTCCACCACACTCCGGGGCAGAGAGTTCCACTGCTGAACGGCTCTCACAGTCAGGAAGTTCTTCCTAATGTTCAGATGGAATCTCCTCTCTTGTAGTTTGAAGCCATTGTTCCGCATCCTAGTCTCCAAGGAAGCAGAAAACAAGCTTGCTCCCTCCTCCCTGTGGCTTCCTCTCACATATTTATACATGGCTATCATATCTCCTCTCAGCCTTCTCTTCTTCAGGCTAAACATGCCCAGCTCCTTAAGCCGCTCCTCATAGGGCTTGTTCCAGACCCTTGATCATTTTAGTCGCCCTCCTCTGGACACATTCCAGCTTGTCAATATCTCTCTTGAATTGTGGTGCCCAGAATTGGACACAATATTCCAGATGTGGTCTAACCAAAGCAGAATAGAGGGGTAGCATTACTTCCTTAGATCTAGACACTATGCTCCTATTACAATTCATAACCGCAGCAAAATTACAGTTTTGTAGCAGCGAAAATAATGTTATGGTTGGGGGTAAACCACAACATGAGGAACTGCATTAAGGGATCGCAACCTTTGGAAGGTTGAGAAACACTGATTAAACTGTCATGGCTCAACACTATGGAAACAAGGGTACCATAGTTTTACCCCACCAAATTACCGTCGCGCTTGGGGGCTATTAGTCTTAAAAGGAGGATGGACGTGGCATCTTTCCCCCAAGGGATTGCTTCTTGCCCTCCTTTAGGAAACTGGAACTCCCAAGAACCCAAAACGATGTAAATAACTCAAAACAAGTTTTATTTGTCACAAAGTCATTTCTTCAATGCAATAAACTGGAAAACTTTAGCAGGGTGAAGGAAAACACACTTTACAGTCTCTATTAGTCCTGGGTCCAAGGGGTTTGAAGCTGAGAAGCCTCACCAGGTTTCCTCTTCCTCAATGGTTGTGAGTGCCGGAGCAAAACCACAACCCCAATTCAAATGGCCTATTTTGAAGATCCAGGATCTTCCTCTGGTGCCAAAAGAACTGGCTTGAAGGCGCCTGGGTCTCCTCAGTAATCCGTCCAGGACGATCTGGACATAAAGCATGAGTCCCAGGGGTAAAAACCTCAGAATTGGTGCTAAGAGGTAACTTAACAGGGTCCTTCAAGAATGAAGTCTGTTACTCACGTCCATGTTGCAGGAACTCTCATCGCAGAATGAATAGAAAAGGAAGTTCTCCCCTCTTGCAGGAAGAGGTGGAGCCAAACAGTGCTGATTGACAGCTACAAGTAACCAATCCATACAAATATACAGACACATGGCAAAAGGGGCAGGATTAAGCATGATACAACAGTTCAAGTCTTACAACTAACAGTTCTATACATAGGTGGCGCCACTCGCGCCGTCACACTCCCGGCCTAGATTTTCGGACTTTCGAAAATCTAAACAAAAATGAAGTTAAACACCTTTAACTTTTATAACTCTAAGACTGTAGGTCTTGTGAAAATAACATAACCATATCGCTAATAGGCCTGTCAAACAAAGAAACCTTTTATTTGAAATGACCTTAACTTGGGCCTTGTGCACTCTATTGTCAGAGGTAGGATAAAACTTAGACACAATACCCTTAGCCCATTGGTGTCTAGGGGCATCTTTTTGTTTAAGTTATTCCTTCTCTGATGGTTTGGCTCAACTGATTAGCTAAGACAGTGGCGCAGAGTTCTAATCTGGGCACTGTAGAGTCCATGGGTGCTACTTTAGCTTTTGACATCACAAATCCTGAAAGGCAGGTACTGGTGCCTCTTTGTCTGGCGTATGCGACCGCAGCGATGGCCTTGGTGGATGCATCGCAGAATATGTGCAGTTCCATGATCTCTGCAGATGAGGAACTGTTTACTATGTACTGTCTTGGCAGTTGTATGTTTTCTAAGCCTTGGGCTTGGCAAGTCCAATTTTTCCATTGTGACATGAGATCTTGGGGAAGCTCTTGGTCCCAGGTGAGCTTGTGCTGGATTGCCTGTTTGAAAAGCAATTTGGCTGAGATGACCACTGGAGACACTATACCCAGTGGATCATGAATGCCATTGATGGCAGACAACATAAGTCTTTTGGAGGTGACTCTGCCCAATTTGGGGGCTCTTAAAGTAAAACAGTCTGTAGCTACATTCCATAACAAACCTAGACTGGTTTGAGCGTTCAAATCTTGAAACAACTTTGATGCATCCTTTTCCACCAAGTCTTCTGGTGGGAAAGCCTGAAGTATCGCTGGACTATTTGAGTTTATTTTGTAAAGATGGATGTTGGCCTTGCTCAACATTTCTTGAATTTCTTTGACTGTCTTTGAAGCTTGCTGCGCAGAATCAAAGGACGTAAGGAGATCATCGACGTAAAAGTTCTGGTTGACAATCATTGATGTTGATTGGCTAAACAAATGGCCAAATTTGTCTGCAGTCTTTTTAAAACAATAATTGGCAACTGCCGGAGACGGAGTGTTACCAAACACGTGAACCCTCATCTGGTATTCGGTCACGTCAGAGAGGGACTCAGTATCTCTAAACCATAAAAACTTCAAGAACCTTCGATGTTCTGGGCGAACTAAGAATGCGTAAAACATTTTGTGTATGTCGGCTATTACTGCATACTTCTTTTCTCTGAACCTTAAAAGAACTCCAAGCAGGCTGTTAAGCAAGTCAGGGCCTTTAAGAAGAACATGATTTAAAGCTTTGCCTTTAAGGCAGAAGATACAGGTTTGAGTTTTAAAGGATGCTAGAGTCTTCATGGAGAAAAGAGAACGGATCTGANAGCACTAGCATCAAAAACAATGCGGACTTTGTCGGGTTTCTGAGGATGTGTCACTTTGTGGTATGGCAGGAAACACTGCTCTTCTCCCTCTGCACATGCACTGGCTGGTTCAGCGTAGTTGCTGATGAAGAGGTCTTCCACAAACTGGGTGATCTGGGTTTTCACCTTGGGATCCTTTAACATCCTTCTTTTTAAGGACAGAAGACGATGAAGGGCAACATCTCTGTTGTTGGGTAGAGACGGTCTTTCTGGCTTGAAAGGTAAAGGCGCGATCCAATTACCTTGAGGGTCTTGAGTGACTTGGTTGTTCATCATCTCAAGGAACTTCTGTTCATCTTTAGAGAAGGCTGTTTGCTCATCTCTCTCTGTGACTTCGAAGATGGAAGAGTAATCAGGCATTACTCCCTGGCAACAAACTGAAATGTGGCTGGCACATCCTTGCATTAGTGAAGGCCTTTTTGTGACAGGCTGGAACATCTTGTTCAGGCAGACCGGACCTAACACCGTCCATCGTAAAGGCAACTGCTGAGCTATGGGGGATCCCTTAGGACCTTCAATCTGGTTGCTAACACGGAACAGCATGGGACAATCTGCGCCGATAAGCATGACAATGTCTGTTTCCAAGTCTAAAGCTGGAATTAGATCTTGGATGCCTTTGAGATGAGGATGGGCTTGTACCACCTCCTTTGTGGCTATTTGATATTTGTTTCTGGGGATCAGGCTGCATTCTATAAGGTCAGGAAGTTCATAACTGGCCTTTTGTCCAAAAGGCGAAATTTTGAACTTTGTCGCAACTCTGCCATACATCTTATTCTTTCCTGAACAAGTGGATATGGTGTACTCCACTGTCTTGCTGTGAAGGTCGAACATGTCAAAGAACTCTGGGGTTGCAAGAGAAGCATCACTTTGGGCATCCAAGGCGACGTAGACCTTTTTTCTGTTCCACGGCTGCTTGTCTGGATACACCTCTGCCAGGCAGATTGGGTGACAAATCCTGGGCTTGTTGCTATTTTGGCATAGCTTGGTGCAGGCAACAGCAGGAGCCTTGAGAGCTACCTGAGGTTCTGTAGGCTTTTGGTCATCTTTAGTTTCTTCTTTGATAGAAGATTTTGACTTTGCTTTGAATTGAGTAGAGTCGAAGTTGTGCATTGCGGAGCAATGCTTGAGGCTATTACAGTGTTGACATTTCACCTTCTCCTTGCAGTCTTTGGAGAAGTGAATAGTGGAGCCGCAACATCTATAGCACACTTTGGCCTTTTGGACTATTTGGAGCCGTTCTTTATAAGGCTTCTTCGCGAACTCTCTACATTCAGCTAGGCTGTGTGGCCGTTGATGAATGGGACAGGTGATGCTGTTGTTGTTGACTGGTTGAACTGAAGCTGGAGGAGTAGTGTCTGTCATCTTGACACTCAAGTTCCTTTTAAGTTCTTTGCCCTGCACTTTGTCTTCTTTGGAGGTCTTTTCAGGCTTTAGGCCTTGGTACAAAGCAGGAAGACCTGTTTGAGGGTCATTCCTCTCACGAGCTGCTTTGGTAACAAAATCCACTAAAAGGTTGAAGGGCGGGTATACATTTGCATTCGCCTCCTTGTATTTGAACACCTCTTTCCCCCAAGCTTCTCGAAGGGGAAAGGGGAGTTTGCAGAGAATGGGACTCTGCGACGTGTGCTGGTCCAGACATGCCAATCCTGGCAGCTCTGGATTTCCTTTGGCTGAAGCTAGCTCTAACAAAAGATCACTGAAGTCCCAAAGCTGTTTACAATCTTTCATCTTTAGCGACGGGAACCTGTTGAGTCGATCCATGAGAGATGCCTCTATCTCGGTGCTCGCACCATAGCGCTGGTCCAAGCGAGACCACGCTGTGGACAATGCTCTTTGGGGGTCTGCCACATGAGCAGCATAAAGTCTCTTTATTTGCTCGGCTGAGCTGGGTCCAAGCCACGCCATAAGAAGGGACAATTCTTCATCCGCTTCTAGCTTGAAATCTCGGATGGCCCTCTTGAAGGTAATTTTCCACAGAAGGTAGTCATCTGGCCGGTCAGTGAATTTCTGGACCCCTTTGTCTCTGATGTCTCTTCTTGGATTCCGCAGGAGGGATCCCAATTGTGAATCTGGTGTGTAGGGGTACATCTGAGGAGTCTGCTGTGGTGTGACAAAGTCAATGTTCTTTGGTTGAACACGTCTCGTCACGATGGTAGGAGATGCTGGGTTCAGAAGATTGCTGGCAGGCAGCACCTCTGAAGCTTTCGTCCTGCTAGGGACAGTTGGCTTGGTATGTAGGGATGGATGTGGTGGTTCACTCCCGGCCATGCCTTGCCAATCTGAGGGGACATCTGGATCCTGTTGAAAGATGTCATCCTTTGGTTCCCAAGTGGACAGGTGGTATCTCTGAGTCCTAATTACAGGGATGGACTCTGACAGAGACGATGGCACTCTCCCGGCCGTACTTTGCTGCACTTTGGGAGAATAGGCTGGCTTTGAAGTCGCGAACACTGGAACAGGTGGACAATCTTCAGGATGGTCAAAAGAAACATGACCCTGCACTACAGGTGGTTCCAGATGCAGGTGTGCTGAGACCTTTGCTATGGGCTCTTGTGATGGCAGGAGGCTAAGGTTTTCTTGCGTTAGCTCCTGTGATAGAGCTTTGGCTAAAACGTTAGCCCTGGCTATCTTTTGTGCTGTGTCTCTTTTTGCTTGGAGCAGATCTAGGTCTCGTTGTAGCGTATCTTGCTTGGCCTTTGCCACTGCAAACTCTATTTCTCTCTGGGCCTTAGCCTGAGCTAGGTCAGCTTCCTTTTGGGCCCTAGCCTGTGCTAAGTCAGCTTCCTGTTGTGCCCTAGCCTGTGCTAAGTCAGCTTCCTGTTGTGCCCTAACCTGTGCTAAGTCAGCTTCCTGTTGTGCCCTAGCCTGTGCTAAGTCAGCTTCCTGTTGTGCTAGGTCAGCTTCCTGTTGGGCCTTAGCCTGTGCTAGGTCAGCTTCCTGTTGGGCCCTAGCCTTTGCTAAGTCAGCTTCCTGTTGGGCCCTAGCCTGTGCTAGAAGCAGTTCCTGCTGGGCTTTGACCTGTTGAAGGAGGAGCTCCTCCTCGTCAAAGGCCAGGCCTTGCTTAGCCATCTCCGCAGACGCCTCTGCTTCCAAAACCTCTTTCCTTATTTCCAAACGGACAGCCTCTCTGTTGTAATAGGCTGCTTTGGAAGATGTACTAAGAAATGAATGTGTGGAATGGGAGGAACTGCTATGCCTAGATGAATGTTTGGATCTGAGGCTAGCGGCCTTAGATGGAGGCTTAAGCAGACTGGATCTAAGGCTTGCACATGGGGAGCCTTGAACCCTTTCCTCTGCACCTTTGGATAAGGAACTAGGCTCTGGTTCAAATAGAACCGCGCTGTAGCGCCTCCTCTCTTCCTGTAGGGAAAAAGAAATTTCTTTAGCCCTATCTAAAGACTCTGGGGTATTAATTTTGTTCAGTACATAAATTATTTCCTCTGCAATAGCACTTCCATCATTGAAGGCCTTTAAAAATTCTTGTTTAAGAACTTCTTTTTCCTTTGGGCAAAGAGAAGCCTTAATTGACTCATATAAGGTGGGTAAGTTTCGCCAAGCCCTTTTAAACCTTTGTGTAAGTTCGCTTTCCTGCTGCAAAAAACCGAGCATGGCCTTCTCTGTGGGATGCCTTTCTCTGACAGGGTGGGGGGATTTGACTCTAACTTGTGGGACCTCAAAGCTTTGACCTGCCATAATGCAAAATTCAAAGGAAACTTAACCCACACTTTAAACAGTACAAATGCAATACAATTTAAGCATACAATGGAAAAAGCACACAAAAAGGCAATGCAATCTTGAAAAAGACAATTACAATAGCTGCTTCCTTTATAAGGTAAACCTTGCTTTGTTTAGCCTATCGAAGGCTCTCAGGAACTGTTGCTGGGCAGACTTCAAGTGAAGGCTGGCTCCTCCCACCCCTCAACCCTGGAGGGCTGAAGGCTGGCTCTGCAAAAAAGGCGGGAAGTGCAGAAGGCTGGAAACTTTGCAAAGGCTTGCTTGCTTCAGGCTGGATGTTGCAATTACTGTAGAAGCCTTGCTTCTGGAAAAGGGCGGGAAACTGTAGAAGAAACAGCTTGCAGAAAATGGCTGGAAACCCTGCAAAAGTATCAATCCTGCAGAGAGCTGGAGACTGTGCAAAAGGATGAGCTGGAAACTGAGCAGAAATACCTGTAGCTTTGCAAGTTTGTTTGCAGCAGCTGCAAAGACAAGTTGATACAATTTATCCACTTCAGCAAAGGCTTGCAAGGAGCTGGTGGAAACCCTGCAAAAGTATCAATTTTGCACAGAGCTGCAGAGGCTGGTGCAAAGGCTGGTTGTAGCAAATTGCTGAGCTTGAGCAGCAAAAAGGCAGGAAATGTGTCCACTTTGTAAAGCCTGGGCTTCTCCTCTGAAGGCAAAAGGCAGGCTTCCTTTTGATTCTATCTTTTTCTTTAGAAAACTATAAGCTTGGCAAAAAATAAGACCCTTTGGCTCCTTCTTTTCCCCCTTTAGCACTTCTGGAAAAGAAGGCTTCTCTTAGCACTCTTATAAATAAGAGTGTTTACTCTCTTAGCACTGTGCCGTCGCGCTTGGGGGCTATTAGTCTTAAAAGGAGGGATGGACGTGGCATCTTTCCCCCAAGGGATTGCTTCTTGCCCTCCTTTAGGAAACTGGAACTCCCAAGAACCCAAAACGATGTAAATAACTCAAAACAAGTTTTATTTGTCACAAAGTCATTTCTTCAATGCAATAAACTGGAAACTTTAGCAGGGTGAAGGAAAAACACACTTTACAGTCTCTTTTAGTCCTGGGTCCAAGGGGTTTGAAGCTGAGAAGCCTCACCAGGTTTCCTCTTCCTCAATGGTTGTGAGTGCCGGAGCAAAACCACAACCCCAATTCAAATGGCCTATTTTGAAGATCCAGGATCTTCCTCTGGTGCCAAAAGAACTGGCTTGAAGGCGCCTGGGTCTCCTCAGTATCCGTCCAGGATGATCTGGACATAAAGCATGAGTCCCAGGGGTAAAAAACCTCAGAATTGGTGCTAAGAGGTAACTTAACAGGGTCCTTCAAGAATGAAGTCTGTTACTCACGTCCATGTTGCAGGAACTCTCATCGCAGAATGAATAGAAAAGGAAGTTCTCCCCTCTTGCAGGAAGAGGTGGAGCCAAACAGTGCTGATTGACAGCTACAAGTAACCAATCCATACAAATATACAGACACATGGCAAAAGGGGCAGGATTAAGCATGATACAACAGTTCAAGTCTTACAACTAACAGTTCTATACATAGGTGGCGCCACTCGCGCCGTCACATACCCCACCAAATTACAAATCTCATGCTTCCATATCATTGAGCCATAACAGTTAAAATGGTGTCAAACGGCACCCCAAGTCTATTTCCTCAGATGCCACAAGATCCCAAAGTTTACTGACAACAAACAATTGTAACATCATTTTGCCAACAGTTTGCAATCAGAAAGTAACTAGAGAGATTTACCAAATTTCCTTCATTACCTTTCCATTCTTAGTTTTTAAAAAAGTATGCATATGCAGGTAGATTTATTTTTTCATCACAAATGGTCTCCAGTGCAAGATATTCTTATCACTGTACCGAAATATATAACTGATTATGGGTTCTGTGATTTGCTCCAACAGCAACAGGACCAAATTATTAAGGCAAATAATTTCCAACCCTAACACAGCCTCCCCCCCCCCCCGCCCAAATTTAATTAACAACAGTTTGCTCAAACTTTAACACAGGCATGGAAAGCAGAGAAGCAAAAAAGATGGAAAAGGATCCATTGAATACATCTTTAGAGAACCATGCTGCAATATTTCAATATCTGCACAGGAGAGTCCAAAAGAGGGTCAAAATGTCCAGATCTTGATACCTGCTATGGAATGGATGTCTCCAATCAGCTTACCTAGGTTTTTTAGCAATAGAAAGTTAATTGCATACTGTTCCAACCAATAATATTCATTTTTAAATTACATTTGAGCCAGTAAGGAGAATGAATAATTAAAGAAATTTTGTCTACCAGGAATTTATATGGAAAATGGGATTTATTTCACCATTGGTTCAGATGCACACTGTCCCATACTCACTTTGTATTATCCTGAATAGATGGCTTATAGCCACAGTTCTTGCCCTGACGAAAGCAATAGAAATGACAGGTTACTGCATAAACGTACTTCTGCTTCTAAGAATGACACTTTAAACTGTGAAAGCTGCATTGCTATGTCTATATATAAGTAGGTAAACATCCTAAGGGCAGTGTATCTAATTGTGCAAGTGTACAACACTCATATTAAATTACATGCCCATTTTACCTTAATTAGATTTGCTTCAAATTAAGAAAAAAAAGAAATGAAAGGGGGGGGGGAGATCACAACCTGTTCTGGGCGATTTTTGTGTGAAAGTGAATTAGTTTAAAAGCAAATAATGGTGGTATTTCTATGACGAGCCAACCAATGAAGTTGGAGTCTTTTGATGAACTGTCAGCTGTCTATCCAATAGTATTGTTTCTGAACCTCCAGTTCAGGAAAATATAAAAGGATTGAAAACATACTGTTATATCATCACTTGACTGCCAAATATTTATGTAGTCATATCATACTTTGCATTGTCCTTTGGCATGGACTTAATTTTTATAAATGGCAGATATTTGAATTCCATGCACATTCTCAAAGGACACCTGAATGAGACCATTCTTTTCCAATTAAACTAAAACAAGCAAATACATAATAAGTAATTCAAGGGTGTTGTCTGATATAATTTCTTCCAGACCACCGTGAACTCCACACTCTGTTAACTATGTCATTATTATTCCTTTTTATTATATGTTCTGTAAACTATCTCCTGTGACATAGGCAAGGGATGGAAGTAGTAACGCATAATTACAAAAATTCTATTCTATGTTGTTCTGCTGGTGCAGCAGTATGAACCAGCATTTCCATTTAAAATCAAATGCATTAATATAGTCACATAAAAGAGTGTTTTTTTAGTTTCTGAATCTGAGATTAAGGATATGGCATTGCTAAAGAAGAATAAACACCAAGAAGTGCTAATAGTGAGTTCCTAATGTAAAGTAAAAATGCCATTGCTGAAATCTAAATAACATGGGGGGCGGCAGAGTCTAACTTATGAGTGTGAAACAAATTTTGAACAACAAGGCTACCTTTGGGTTGTTGTAGGTTTTCTGGGCTGTATGGCCATGTTCTAGAAGCATTCTCTCCTGACATGTTGCCTGCATCTATAGCAGGCATCCTCAGAGGTTGTGAGGTCTGCTGGAAACTAGGAAAATTGGGTTTATATATCTGTGGGAAGTCCAGGGTGGGAGAAAGAACTCTTGTCTACTGGAGGTAGGTGTGAATGTTTCAATTGGCCACCTTGAGTAGCATTTGATGGCCTGACAGTTTTTAGGTGTGCCTTGTTACTGCCTGGGGGAATCCTTTGTTGAGAGGTGATTAGCTGTCCCTGATTGTTTCTTGTCTGGAGTTCCCCTGTGTTTGAGGACTCAGTATCACAAGTGGACATTGAAGCGACAACTCCTTCTGTACCCGGAATCAAGCATATCCTTATGAAGCCGGAAAAGTTGGAATGTTAAATTGCCTCTGTGATTGTCTATATATGTTGTATATGGCATTGAATGTTTGCCATGTATATGTGCATTGCACTCTGCCCTGAGTCCCCTGCAGGGTGAGAAGGGTGGAATATAAATACTGTAAATAAATAAATAAATCCCTTTATCTATAAAAATGCTACTCTTAGGTTCTATATTGATTCATAATATTTTTGTGCATTCATATGATTGGAATTTCATTTGTGGCTTGCAATTTTTATGCTGGTTCTGATCTTTAGTCAAGGATCTTTAGTCAAGAAACCAAAGGAGGACTAAAACTGGGAAAGAAAGCCATGAAGGAATTTGATAGGATATTGACATATAAAGATCCAACACTAAATCCTAATGCCTGACTCACCCAAGCAATAGTATTTCTGATTAATATGCATGAATGTGAGGGCTGGGTAGTGAAGCCAAACAGTAAAGAGAGCTGATACAAATATAATTGACTAATTTAAAATGTGGTGCTGAAGACTTTGATAGATAACATGGACTGCTAAAGGGACCAATGAATGATTCTTAAGAGCAAACCAAGTCTGAACTCTTGCTAGAAATGAAGATGGTTGCTAGAAACTAAGAGTCTTCTCAGTGGTGGCCCCTCATCTGTGGAACTCCCTCCCCAATGAAATCAGAACAACCCTCTCCATCCTGTCCTTCAGGGAAAAAACTTAAGACATGGTTATGGGACCAAATATTCAAGAAGTAACTATAGCAGTGCACTAATAGAGAGCGATAGACTAATGGACTGATCCTGGACTATGATTTTAAATTTATGTGATTTTAATTATTGTTTTAATAATTTATGTATTATTACTGTTTTAATTGTAATTGTTATTTTTGGAACTTGTTTGTTGGGCATCTAATTGTTGCCAGTTGTGAGGCCGCCCTAAGTCCCCTTCAGGGTGAAAAGGGCGGGGTACAAGTATGAGAAATAAATAATAAATAAATAAAATGCTGTCATACTTTGGGCATATAATGGAAAAGACCATAACAATGGTTAAGTAGGTGGCAGCAGTAAAAGGGGAAGAGCACACTATAGGTGGATTTACTCCTCCAAGAAAGCAAGGCAGGTGATAACCAGAAATCTTGGAGGTCTCCCATTCATAGGCTTGTCATAAGTGAAAGAAAACTTGATACAAGATAATAAACAACAAATCTATCTAAATTAATGACCTGCCTTTA